CGTATACTATCCTTCCCCCGCCCGTACGCGCCCCTTTCCTTCATATTATATTCTGGAGAAGACGGGGTGACACCATAGGACCAGTCGTCAGGGTCAAACTGTGGCGTTCGGTCGATTTCGAACAATTTGACGAGCTCTTTTACCTTAAGCGATTTCAAAACGACTTCTTACCATCACACGTTGGGATGGGAGACACCCACAAAAACGACCCCCCACCACCTCTCACCACCTTGACTATTACTATAGCAGTTTAAAACTCTGAAATGAGTCCCTCTCTCGCAACCACGACATCTTCATTTTCCGAAGAAGCGATCCCCCATTTTGACCGTTTGACCTTCGCAACCCCAATCACTTACCCCACCCCCAAACATCACAAACACGGATGATGGATGGGGCGGATGGACAGATGACTCGTCGCCGAATAATAGCATACGGCTTCTGGTTACATAGAATAGTTCAATTCGAAACAAAGCAAAACGGATTGTATTACACGGCACTTTTCACCGCATCTTGATAGTAGTATTGGTACTCACACTATACATATTCAAAAACGAAGAATTATAGAAGGAAAGCAAAATGAATCGTAACTATACAGAAGATCTAAGAAAAGAAACGTACTCAATCAGCGTCCTCGCCCAAGACAAATGTTTCCCAAGTAGCCTCAATGTAAAGTCCCACAGCTTATCGGTAATGGGATAGAGAAACACCTCTTCTCCCCACACTGTTTCAACAGTTCGCAATATCGTCGAGGAAACATCGCACAACACTCCTCCTTCTAGCAGCTTAACAAATAAAAATGATTAAGAGATAAGATCAAAGGTGATGAGGAATACGGAGGTTAGTTTCAGGAAAAGCAGAAAAAAATTTACCTCATTTTCCGAAGAAAATTTCAACGCTTCGGGAGCCATCTCATTGTCCACCTGGCGGACACCTTTATGAGTGACCAATTTGAAGTATACGATCAGGTTGAATTTATCACGAATCGATTTCAAAATAGCCCTTCAAAAAACTAATTGTTCAAAAAATCATACAATCAGATAACTTTGAAGAAACCTCGAATGAGGGTGTGGCGGCCAGTTCTCCACAAACTCTTGCGTCGCTGTGAAACAACGATGGAACATGGTCGTATTAGTTGGTACTGCTACCGTACCCATACACTACAACGGAAAACGTGCAAAAAAAACTAAAGAACCAGAAAAAAAGTATGGAAAACTGAACAAATACCCTAAGCTTTTGCAACACTACCTTGTCGATAAAAGTGAGCAGAAAAGTGAGAAGAGTTTGCTCAAGGAATGCTTGTACTTGACCGGTGTACTTAGGGCCAAGAATTTCACTCCAATTTCTGCGCATCTGCAAGAAAAGTGTATAGGCGAAGTAATGAACAGATAACCATGTAACCGCTTTTTTGAATAAGATATCGCGCCTGCGCTCAAACGATAAATTTACCACACTGACCTTATTGACACCCTTGAAGACCTCCTTCAACATTTCATAGTGGTCCTTTGCAGGCTGGACGAGCTTTGGATAAATCAAATCCGACACAAGACGGGCAGTCAGCGAGTGTGTGCAGTCAGCTAATGATAGCAGTGACAAAACGTGTGGTAAAGAGGCACAATCTCCACCGGCGCTTCGTACACCTTCGTCACACAGAACGGTTTCCAATCGTGTCAACAACTAAACGAGCGGAATTTCGAGGTGAAAATATGGTAATCAGCAAATTAGACTAGAACTCTAGCTCACAACTAATAGAGATAAAGCATCAAAGTATTGATAATTTTATAAAATCTTTGCTCAGACGAGCATTCGAAGAGAAACAGCCTAGCAGGAACAAAAAAAACAGGAAAAAAACGAGAAAGAAGGTGGAAACGTACCTTATTGAGCATTTTGCTTTCTCTGCTACCTTCTACAAGATGCTCTTTATAAGAACTAGCATCAACAAGACATGAAGATACTTTTTCCAACCTGAAGTTATTCCGATTAGCTATCATGATGAGTGGATCAGAATTAGCGGTACCGCTTCACATACCAAAGAGCACCAATTGATTCAGGCACATTATTAATCAAACTGGAGAGCCGTTGAACAGCAGATAGAAATGATATACGGTGGCGGATCTCAACCTGGAATAAGCCTTCGCTCAATGGCTGCAAAGTTTGTTGAAATAGACTAGCGCAGTGACATTATACGTGGGGAACGCATGGCTTACATTATACACCCGTACTGGACCAGGATGCACTAAAGGCTGACCGTACGACCGTTGAGATCTTCAATGTTCGACATGTATGAGGGACAACATTTGCATGTGAATGTAAAACATGCAGAAATGACCAATGGATAAGGATGCTGAGTATGGGCTCCCTTCGATTATGAGACATTCTCGCAGAAGCGATTTCGAACGTTCGGTGTGTGCGCATCGCTAGCGCTGATATTAAACTCCTCGTCCATATGTCTGGATGTGACAAGCGGATAGCTTCTGAATGCGAGTGCGTCCAAGGCTTCCAACAAATGCTAATGTAAACAGTGTAAAAGTTCCGCGATAAGCTCCAAAAATGGGAAACCTCGAACCAAAGGAACGCAGAGGTGTCGTCGTAGATTCGCTGTTTTCTATGTGATCACAATTAGGTGTTGCGAACACAAATGTGGATTACAACATGGCGGAGAGCACCGAACGTATGCTATGGGTTTGTCTTCTCGCCTTAGTCACTATTCGTATCAGCGTCACTCGTACAATTGTCAGAGGTCAGGTCATTACTTTGCGGTCTGTTTGCAGTTCGTTTGGGTTCGAGTCTCGGTATCACCGCGGGTTTTGTGTTCGTATGGTCGGCGATGGTTCTTATCCACAAAATCGTGAGATCGCAAAACCTTGTAGAAGTCCCTCATGCATTGCTAGCTATCAGATTGATGATATCAAATTTTGAGGTCAGCTTTGGCGAGTTCACAAAGCATTTTCTGCTGCGTAACGCTGCGTTTTGGGAGGTTTATCGCTGTTTTGTGCTACAAAGTAGGAATTCAAAATTACGTAGTCATTCGTTAGAGAACGTCCACAAATGAAATACAGTTTTGGAATATATATCTGCGCTTTGAATAATTACATTACTGCCATAAATGTACTTACGTTATATCGGTGTGTTCATATTGTTCTATAGTGCTTTGTAGCTGACAAGAGGTTGAGATAGGCTGAACAAAATCAGGTGAGTGTCATGAATCAGTTGCGATATCGAATGCTGGACTTTTTTCACATCACTCGAACATGTGATTGTATTTGCTTGAGTCCAGCTCGACTGAAATGTGTGCACTGTTATTAAATGACACAGGCAGTACTCAATGACAACCAAAGGTCATAGTATACAACAAAATAGTTGACACTTACCGCCTCGCTAAGTTCATGAATCGCTGAACGTTGAAGTCTGGCCGACCGAAGTGATTTTTGTTGAAACACAATTGAGAATCATCGCGAAAGCGAAATGGACTTGGAGCAATATACGCGGGGAGGTAGACTCCCCACCACCCGATGTCATTTTTGGTACCTACAATTAAATGACTGTTGCTATACAAGTAGGGTGGCCACGCCACATTTCTCAACAGGTACGTAGGTGGGACTGCGTGCTGCGTCTTACTTGTTACGAGAATTGGGGATTCGTGAGCCTAGGAGGATGTAGCCACTCTTCTGAGAAGTGGGCGGGGGTGATGGCAGTCATTGACGTTGTGCTTGAAAAGACTGGCACGTACCCACCCAGTTGTATAGAGCAAAAGAATGATAACGACATTCTTTGCTGCGCAGTTGCGGACATTGAGAATCAGGGGCCGTATGCTGAATGTTGGGTAGGGGCTGGGGTCCCCGACCCGCGATGCTGAATGTTGGGGCTCCCAGCAGAGTTTCGTCGCGGGACCTACAGGTGACTGGCCAGTCCTTTAATTCTGTGATGAAGTTTTTGTCTTTTCACTGTTCTAGATTACAGATTCGTCCACGCACACATTGCCATATTGAAGTAATAATTGAAGTAATACACCAATATGGCACGAAGTAATTGAAGGCGCGAACCAAACTTCAGTCTAAAGTAGTGAATGGACAGACTGGCAAGATTACGGCAATGCAGCTAGACGTACACGAACGCTCCAATATGTGAAAGAATCAAAAGGGATAAACTAAGCAATTACAAACTGCTTGCCCTATAGTGGACAATCGTATGAGTGTAAGCAGTAAGCTGGAACAAGTAAGTCGTAAATCAAAGGCGTCCTGGACGCCCCGGTCCCGCGGAGCGAACTACTGTGGCAGCCCAACAGTTCAGATGCGGGTCGGGGACCAGCCCTAACCAACATTAAACCTTTAGGATTAGATGAACTTGAAAAAAATATGTGGAGACACACGTCAGTACGGAACGGACATCGTGGAAGATCGCACAATCGTGCTCCAATGCGGTCCACGTTGAGGGGCGGAGCTAAAGCTGCAAGGGTTGCACGGAATTTCGATTTTGCGATTTCTTCTTCAATTTAAATAGTAGGAAAAGATCTGTCTAATTCTTTCTTTTATTGGCCTGCCCTGACATATGGGTTCGGTCATTGGTGATTGAAAAGAGACAGCCGAATATAAAACTGTCTAGTAGGTAGTTGTGCAAACTACAAAACAGCGTAGTAGGGAGCGCCGGGGCACTTTTAAGTTCTGTATATCCTTCTTCCTTACGTGCATTGGCCTTTTGGTAAGATCTGCTTGTGCAGCATCGTGTTTTATTCCAAAGATCGTTTCTCAACAACAGATGAAGTAAAATAGTGCAGGAATCGGAGAATTTCCTTAGAAATTGAATCCCTAAAAGTGGGTGCCATGTTCGTTATCAAGGCACTGAGTTGTTCTCACAGGCAAATTTCTGACGAAAAATCAAATTCTGAGTAAAATGCTGCCGAAGTCAAAGTCGACAGATTGCAACATTGCAAACTATAGCCGCCGACAAACGCGGATGTTTTGATATTGTATTCCCATCTCCTTCTTTGATCGAAAATTTCTTAGAAGGATTGGAGATTTAGAAAGATACCCTCTGATTCTATTGGGTGGTCCTTTAGTGATAGATAATCGTATTCTTCCAAGTTATCGTTGGGGACTGGGCGTGGTTTACCACGCCGTGCGGTTGCGACGCGGCTGATGTACCGGCGCTTGTGATAGAATCTGTTCTGTTTTCCATTTCTTTCTAAGCTCTTCACTTCATCAGATAGGTGGATGCAAAACAAGACTATTCATGCCAGGTTCATATTGGGCAGTCGCAAGCGTACCTGCCTCTCCTTTTGTATTCATGTGAACTAGATTATCTTTAGGTGTGCTGTAGAAACTATGCTGATGTAACATTAGCATTTTCAGAAGAACCATTTCACAGATTCACCTACTGGAAGATATCTCGGCCTTGTTCTTCAAATAAAAGTGGCTATGGAGGGCATTCACTTACGAATGAGCATGGCTGAGATGGCATTCCAGCACGACGACGTCATTGACGACATGGAATTTGCTGTACGACGGTTTCCGGAATGGTTAGTCCAGTTCTCCAATTGTTCTTTTTTTTAATAAGTTCAGCATCATTTCAGTTGTGAGCAGTTAGTTCCTCATGTCATCCGGTTGATGCGTTCACCTATAGAATCAATCAGAGCGTCCGCTTTTGGCTTCGCTCTGGACATCATCAGTCAAAAGCCTCAGGTTTGTTTGCCGAATTATAGTCCCTTTTTTGGCTCATGTTTTGGTTTTCCCTGGCTTGGTGTTGCTGTGTTTTTGTTGTTCATTGCCTTTTAAGAATTCGTGTAGTTTTTTTTTCTGTAACTTTGTGGCACAGGGTGGATAGAGGGTCGATAGCCTCTGTGGTGAAGTGGATACCACACTTGCCCGGAGAGCACGAGGTCCGTCTTTGAGTCCCTGTTCATTTGACAAGGAAGGTCTTTCAGGACATGGAGCGCTTTTCGAAATGGTTTCTGCATGTTGTAGGGGCTCATGCGAGGAACACAGAACCATGATCCATTTTTCCTGAACGCCTCCAGGAATGTCAAAACAGTGGTGAAGAAATGGTCCAGAGTTCGATCCCCGGTGATGACTAATTTTTGCAATATAGTTTGGCGCCCCAGATTGCCGCCAAATGGCGCCATCGTCGAGAATAGATGTCATTGTCGTGTTTTGCGGCAATTTGGAGGCGCCAACATAAATTGCAAAAATTTGTCATCACGGAGGATCGAACTTTGGACCATTTCTTCCCGCTGTTTTGACATTCCTGGGGGCGTTCAGGAAAAATGGACCATGGTTCTGTGTTCTCATGAGCCTCTACAACATTCAGAAAACCATTTGAAAAAACGCTCCATGTCCTGAAAGACCTCCCTTGTAAGCATTCCGCCCATTACTAAGTACCCTTGAGATAAAATTGTTTCTGCTTCTTTTGAAGAGTGTATTCCTTGTTTTCAGACCCGATGCCAGCTTAAAGAAGCTTATATCAGCACAATGCAAAGTAACGATTTGGACGTTGCACGACAAGCTATCACCTTCTTACCGGATTTTGTAAACGTATGTATAGGTGAGCAATCGGTAATTTGGCCACATTTATCTTCCTCCTGTTCTTTTCGAATGTATTCAGAAAGTGAAAGGGCTGGTAGTCATTCCTTTCTTTTCTGATTAAGCTCCATTCATGCGAATGTGAAATTAGGGTGGCTGGAAAGCTTGAGGGTTGCAGTTCTGACAAAAGTGCTTTCTTTATCTGCATTCAGCCAATTCCATTCATTTTTTAGCCAACGCTGACGAACTCATCAGTGCGGCGATGCACTGCTGCACACTAAGAAATGCTCTTAACGACGTAAACGACTACATTGTCGAAGCAATGGCTGTATTTGGTCAGTCGAAAGTCGAATGAGGATGATGGACAGAATCCTGACAAAAAAGATGTGAAGAGACGTTCCCGTGAAGACGGCGAGATAAATTAGGTTACTATTTTTGGTTAACATTTAGATTTAAAACTCAACGTCCAAATTCAGATAATTTTCCAGTCTTTCTGTTATATACATGATTGAATTACGGGTTTCTAAAAACTAGATACAGCTAGCACGGGGAAGGGTTTCAAAATGTAACCCGATTCTGGACAGATTTCGAGTATTTTCCTGCTAGCTGGAGTCCAGGCCTTTTTATTGCTTTTCTTCGGAAGTTTCTATTTCACTAGATTGATGGTCTTCTCTTATCTGTTCTTATGTGTATGTGTACTGTGTTGATTTTTTTCTTACATGAATTCCCGTTTTTTTTTCTTTTCGTTGTGAACAAGTATCGATTTCTCGGATGATTCTATGTATACTCGAGATCCGTAAGTTGGGGTAGGCGTGTCACCGGAAGTGACGTGTACTTGATAGAATCTATGTGGATAAGCTGCTTCCAACATACATCGCTGGATATCAGCAAAGCATGCTGGCAACAGCTTATCCACGCAACTTCTATCAAGTGCACGTCACTTCCGGTGACACGCCTACCCCAACTTCGGATATCGACTGTAC